ATTCCAGGACAGTCACAAATATTGTTTAAAATTTTATACATAAAACAGATTTTTAAATAGGTTCTGCGATCATTTAATTTACTTAACCCTAAATAAGTCATTGACATGTCAGGAGATTTACAGATATTGAGAGGAAGACGACGAGATATATACTTGACAAATTTAATTTGAACTAACTCAAGTCTATCAACATATGTTTTGTAATAGGGAGCCCACACTACGCATCCATACTCTAGAAAGTCATAACAGTCTCTCCCACTTAACTTGAAAACACATACACGTTGATAATGACAAAATACTAACTTTGAAAACAAACTATGCGAATTCCAATACATTAAAACAACTTAACGGATAAACAACGCCTAATTGAAACACAAAATTTCCATGTCATAATCACGAGTCCAATTGGGTTTGTGTCTTAACCTCTGAGGTCTCCTTTGCTGTGCTTGGTCATAGTCGGGTTGAAGTTCTTGTCTAGTTCGTTCTGGATCTGCTGGCTGATCATTCAATTCGGGATTAACTGGCGGATGTTCTTGAAGATTACAAGGTTGTGGGTCAGGTTGACATCGCACGGCCGCTTTTGGAATTCTTGGGATGTCGAAAGATTGTGTCGGACCAAATCTCACCCTCTTATCTGGCTTCTGCACAAGTGTTGATTTCAACTGGTTGACGTGTCTTTTTATCATCCTTCCCGAATCTAGCATAATCTGGTAATGGTATTTCCCTAATTTCTTTTTGACTTCCCCAAATTGCCATACATTCTTGTTTGCTATGAAAAGTCGTACTTGCACTCTTTCCCCCTCTTGAAACGAACGCGACGGTCTTGCAGGAGTGTTTGAATATTGCGGTCGGTACGGGAATATAGCATCTAATCGGATTTTCATTTTCCTATGGAGGTACAATTCCGCTGGTGTTTTCTGGTTGTTTAATGGCGTTGCCCTGTACCTGAAAAGAATTTCTTGCACTTTCATGCGGATTGATCCTGGTTCGTTGATCATTGCCGCTAATCGTTTCTTGAGTGTTTGCACGTTTCTCTCTGCTAATCCGTTTGTAGCAGGGTGTCCTGGAGCGATAAATTTACAGAAGATGCCTGATTTCTTGCAAAATTGTTGAAATTCTTCGCTGGTGAAGATTGTAGCATTATCAGAGACCATAACGTCTGGAAATCCGTGCCTTGAAAAAGTTTCTTGAAGTAATTTTATTGTTGATGACGAAGTCGGAGCTGCTAAACATGGTTCGATCTCCGCCCATTTAAATTTAGCATCGATAATAACTAAAAAATAGTGATTTTGATATGGGCCTGCGTAATCGATGTGAATCCTTCCCCAATTTTCTTCTGGAGAGTCCCACGGATGCAGTGGAGCCTTCGGAGGATTTGACTGGTTTAGTGCACAACTTTCGCATCCTTTCACCAATCTTTCTATGTCACGGTCAATGCTAGGCCAATACACATAACGTCGTGCAAGCTGTTTCATCTTTGTGATTCCCAAGTGTGTTTCGTGAAGTTCGTTGAGTATGTGAGAACGTAGTGAACTTGGAATTAAGACTCTGTCTTTTCGGAAAAGTGTACCATCCAGCAGTGTATATTCGGAATCTTCGGCCTGGTTTCTGAGCTTGTGAAGAATTTTTCTGAGTTCTGGATCTTTTTCGGTTTCATTCTTGATTGTCAGAGAAGTTACTTTTTCACTTGAAATCTGGAAAATTGTTTCAGCAAATATTTGATTTACTTCTTCGCCAATAAGTTCATCACTTGACGTCCCCTTTTTTTGAACTGGAATCCGGGATAAGCAATCTACATTTTGATTTTCTCTTCCTTTTTTACACTGTACGGCATAATCGAAACCTGAGAGGAAGGAAGCGTATCGAAGTAATCGTGACGAAGTCATTTGCGGGAGGGCTTTATGGGGATGGAGTATCCGTGATAATGGTTCGTTATCAGTAATTAGTAGAAAATGCTTGCCAAACAAATAGTTGTAGAAATGAGTTATTCCAAATATAATGGCAAGTGCTTCTCGGTCTAGCTGGCTGTAGTTTCTTTCTGAGGTCGTTAGTGAGCGCGATGCGTACGAAATTGGCCTTTCAGTCCCGTCAGTACTATGACTCAGTACTGCGGCTATCCCTGTTGGACTGGCATCAGTTGTCAAAATCAGTGGTTGATTCGGATCGAACGGGACGAGTACTCGGTTGCTGCAAAGTTCGGATTTTAATTTCAGAAATGCTGATTCGCAGCTTGCTGTCCATTTCCAAGGTTCTCCTTTCCTTAACAGGCATCGAAGTGGATAGGAATTCGTAGAAAAATCTGGGATAAACCGTGAATAGTATGTAACAAGGCCTAGAAATTTTCTGATTTCATCGACATTAGAAGGTCGTGGCATTTCTTGAATGGCGCGTACTTTTGCTGGAGACTTGCTTACCTTGTTAAATTCGATAATATGACCAAGATATTCAATTTTCGTTTCAAAAAATATGCACTTATTCTTGTTAACGTGAAGATCGTACATCGAAAGTCTTTGTAAACAGGAATCTAAGTTTTGTGTACATTCTTCTACTGTTGTTCCATGTATAATTATGTCGTCAAAATAGGATTCAGTCTTTGGCAGTCCTTTGAGAATCTGAGATAATATTCTGTTGAATTCAGATGGAGCCGTTTTGATGCCAAAACTCAGGCGATGCATTCGATAAGTACCTCGATGGGTTGAAATTGTCTGGATCTTGCTACTTTCTTCATCAACCCTGAGGTGTAGATAGGCTTTATACAGATCCAGTTTACAAAAATAACGGGAATTTCGAAGGCTGTTAAGAACGTCGTCAATGCGTCGTATTGGGTGGTTGGCCTGGATCAATTTTTCGTTTACTCCGCATTTGTAATCAACGCATAATCGGATGCCACCATCTTGTTTTGGAATTACTACCAGAGGTGAACCCCAATCGCTAGCGGCTACTGGGGAAATTATTCCCTCTGCTTCTAGAGAATCCAGTTCTCTGTCTACCCTTTCTCTGAGTGCATATGGCACATCACGTTCTCTGGTAAATACAGGTTTGACATTTTTTCTGAGGTGGAGATTTACAGTAAATTCTGGAACACATCCTATTTTTTCTTGAAAAATGCTTGCAAACTTCGTTTGAATATCATCTAGCGAACTTACAGCCTGAAGCTGGAAAACTGGAGTGTTGTTTGCTGTATCAAGTTGTTGTAAGTCGATACCTAATCCTCTTATCCATTGACGGCCAAGAAGCGCATCATGACCTTGTGGTACAAGATGGAGTTCGGTCTGGATTTCTTTTCCTAGGTGAGACTGTAAGGTGAACTTTCCCTTTAGATTGGATTATATTGCCGGAATACGTTCGAAAAGCAACTTGTGACTTCTCAATAGGCACTTTCAAATCTAAACGATTAAAAACATCTTCTGCTAATAATGAAAATTTAGCTCCGGAATCGACTTCAAAACGTTGCGCTTTCCCGTTTAATCTGACTGTGATAATGTACTTATCTGAATCTGCAACCATTTCATACAAGTCCACAATTTCACCTTGTCGAACAAAGACTTCAACTTTATTAATGCCATAACTGGAACTGGTAGCTTCTTCATGAGAAACTGTGTGTACTGTAGGACTATTATGTAATGCTGAGATCAACGTTGTGATGCAGACTTTTGCGATGTGGCCAACTTTTTTACAGGATTCACACTTTAATTTCTTTCTGTCAATTCGGCACTTATCTGCCTTGTGGTTATCTCTTCCACATCTAATGCACAAGTTTTCAATTCCAAGTGCTCGGTAGTCAAGTCGGCGTCGTGACTGGTCACTTCTTCGTTCTGGAGTCGGTGATCTGTAATTACCTTTTGAGTGAGAGCGGTTTCGAAAATGGTTTCTGGTATTAGTTATTTTATTTGTGTCAATGCTTTGCTGGCTGGTGTCATGGCGCTGCGTTAATTGTTGACTTTCAATTTTTGATGCTTCAAGAGCTGTAGCTTGTGTGAGGATTTCTTCAAATGTATTGACATTAGCTTGTAAGAGTTGCTCACGTAACCAATCATCACGCAGACCCCTGATGAACTGAGCTCTTAGGAACACTCCCGCTACGGATATTACTTTGTCACATTCGCATTTCACCGTAAATTCGGAGTCAGCAATATCTCTCTGTAGTGAAGCAACGTATTCGGCCACCGCTTGTCGTTCTTTCTGGAAAATATTTAAAAAATAATGCTGCGACACAATTGCACTCTTTTTTGGAGTTAGCATTTGTTTGAATGCTTTAACCAAATCGTTGTACGCCAGTTCTTTGATGGGCTTTTCAGGGCCAAGAAATGCTGTTAGGCTGTTGTAATGGGTTGAACCGATGGAGGCACATAAAAGTTGGGCAATTTTCGCTTCATTTGTAACGCCTTTCATTTCGTAGTAATTTTCGAATCGTTCCAGATAGCACGAGAATTTTTCATGTCGAGGATCGAAATTTTCAAATGGTGCAATACTGGAAAAATTTACAGAAGTATCTGGTTGCTTTCCGGGTTGCAATTGCGTAATAATTTGTGTTATTAAGGCTTGTTGCTGTGTTTGTAGCGTGTCCAAAAGTGGTTTGAGCATTTTTCTCTCTCGTCGCCAATATTGTTGTGTATTAACTCTGATCTATTTATTAATCAGGTATTGAAAATGCCTGCACACACCCGTCCATCTTTATTTACTTAACCTATCTATCCATATGCTCAGGGTGCCCAGACCAGTGGTCACACTAATCGCCAACAGAGGGACCCCGAAGTCGCCAAAATCTAAAGTCACTAGATATATAAAGTACCGCAATTGGGCGCCATATTGTGTCCGCGCCAAATTCAAAATAAATAAATAAAAATTAACGGACTCGATACTTGCGTACAAAGCGTAAATGTAGATTTCTTTCAAATAAACATTTATTTATGTTTAAGCGTTATTTGTTCAGTGCACTTAAACGCCATTGATAAACATAAGGGGTGAGTAAAAAATATAGATGAGAAACCTTGCAATACCAGTTTATTAACAAAATTTCGGCCGCAATAGTTTCCTTCCACCTGCTCACTTTGCTTCGAATTGTTGTTCAGAAAAATGTAACTAAAAGTAAATAGTATTTAACATTGTGCAATTACATATTCAAGCTTTAACAAATTACTTCGCAAATTCTGGAGTTGTCGTTCAAATCGTCCCGGCCTATTAAATTCTCCCACATCTCTCTTCTAGCCCTATTACTAACACCTGCAACAATTTAAATTGGTTGAGAAAACTCAATTGAAAACTTAGTTGTAACCTACCTGTTGGAAGACGAAACAATCGGCTTTTATTTTTACACAAAGGAACAGAACAACTTGGCATTTTAAAATAAAAGTCATAAAACACCACAAAAAAACACAAACAACTTTACAAAAAACACAAACAACTTTGCAAAACAGGACTTACGCCACGAGGTGATGCGTTAAAAAGCGTTTGACAATTAACTGACGTTTGTCGGTCGCCATATTGTGTCCGAAATATACGTTCTCTCTCTAACACATTGAAACATTCAATTGCGCTACTTTGGTTATCTAGGGACTTTACCAAAATCGCCAACCCAACATTTAAAATCAAAACGCCCCTAGGTTGTTGACTTCTAGTGAAAATACTTTTTATGCCATTTTTAAATATTTATTTTAATAAAAAAAAAAAAACATTCAGATCAATAATATAGTCTACATCACCTAAACAATTATTAAAACCAAATAAGAATAAATTGAAAATACATCAATAATGTTACACAAAAAGGGCTTACATTTGGAGTTACCAGAGATAACTTAGTTAGAAGTTATAAATAAATCTATTAATTTGTATCATGCATTTTGATATGTAAATATTTGTTATATAATGAAAAAATAACGTCAAGAACAGGAAAGTCCCTAGATGTAGGTTCTTCTAGTAACTTTAACTGTCACTGTCAAACGCCCATTGACTGTCAGGCAAGATGCCAAGTGTCAAACTGAATGTCAACTTGAGATTAATTAATCCAATAAGATTTTATAAATTAATGCAGAAAGTACTAAAAACAGAATCCAAATAAGTTTTAAGTAGCCGAACACACGTATGAAAAGCTAAGAATAGCAGGTATTTACCCATTCTTAAATATTTGTATCACAAGCTGTTTATACTTTTTTAGCCCACATTTTTTATTCAAAAAACTCTTGTGTCACATTAAAAATAACGTGTAATTCATTTTCATTAATTGCATCTTCACCATCACAGTTTGCGTAAACTATGTTGCTGTTAAAAAGTGACAGCATATGATCTGTTGGGGTAAAATTATTGCAACATATTTTACGATTAAAACAAAATATTTTGGTTCTAATTATGGCTTCTAAAGTGGTTAATTTTAGGCGATTTCTCACTTTGGTTTTTACGCTATTCATTATGGAAAACACTCGTTCTACTGCAGCATTGCTGAGAGGGAAAGTGAGCAAACGTAAAACAATAGTTGCCAACTCTTTGAATATTTGTTGACCTGCGCCATCAACATAATTGAAGACTATCGGCCAAAATTTCAAGATATTATTGGGAACATTTCCTCTGAATTCTTCTTCCCAAGTTACAAGCTGTAATTTGCGCCATTGATTCTCCACAGTATTGAGATCTTCACCATAAAAGAATGGTTGAAGAGGTAATTCAGCAAAATTTATTTTCTGTTGCTTGTTTAAACAACACACAGGGCTTAAAAGCTTCATCTTATGGAATATTTGTAAATTTGATGGCATTCTTTCAATGAATTCTTTTAATAGTGTTTGTAAACAATTGAAACACCTGACTTTAATTTCATTTATTTCTTGTTGAGGCAAGTTATAATTATTTAGTTCTGTCATAAAATAATAGCCTAAATCTGCATCTTCCACTGAAAGATATGCCAATTTATTATCTACAGCTGCAGCAATTTTAAAAAGAACAGAGACATTTTCATTAGATTGTTCGTCATTGGTAGTAAGAAATATTGGTTTAATGATTCGTCTCCCTAAAGATTCGACAGTTAAAAAATATTGTGAATATGCTGATCCGATGTCATATTCATTGGATTGGAATATCAGATTTAGCTTATTTGTATCTTCCAAAAGAGGAAGTAAAAACTTAAAATATAATAGCATTTTATTATCATTTAATATGTTAAAAATTGTTTTGGCTTTATAACATTTTTCCTTGTTACCAGCCATTTCAAAAAATAATTTTAATTCTGTCCAGTGTTCTAATAACCTTTTAATAACGTTATATCGTGAAAGCCATCTTGTTGCTGATAGTTTAACTAAATTTTTGAAGGAATTACTTTCGTTAATATTAATTGTATCATATAATTTCCGATATTCAATCTTTCGTAAAGGCGAATTACTAAACCAGTTGTATACTTCATGTGCCAAAAAATCAAAACAGCTTGGTAACTCTGTGCTGGCTTTAGAAACACAGAGGTGAATTGCATGACAAACGCATTTTAAGAGGCACAAATTTTCATTATTACTCTTTAAAAGTGAATAAACTGAATTATTCTTTCCACACAAATTTGCGCCTCCATCTGTTCCTACAGCCAGCATGTTATGAATTGGCAAACCTATTTTGTTAAAATAATGTGTTAAAGAATTATATAAATTTTGTGCTGTGGCCTTCTCTACCTCAATAAGGCCTAAAAAGTCAGTTGTTAAAATAGCGCCGTTGAAATACCGAACGCAAACCGCTAAATATTTGTTGACACTTACATCCGTTGATTCGTCAATGATACATGAAAATTTTTGATTGCCTATTGATGAAATAATTTCTTTCAGATATGATGCCCCAATTACGTTTCTAATTAAACCAGCACATTTCGTATGATGCAGTTTTAAATTGGTGAAACTACTTGAAGTTGGTGAATTCAGTGATTCTTGATTCAGGATTTCTCCCAGATGATCAACAGATCTAATAGATGAATGAAACAGGATGTGCATGGATAGTTTTAAATCAATTTTTTTTTGTTCTTTACCACCAGTTGAGGTAACTAAAATGATAATGTATACTTTAGTTTAAACTGTGGTTTGGTTAAAATCAACTTACAGTATTGTTTTACAGTGTTTTTTTTGGAATCACTCGGTTCTTAGCATTCGTTTGATGAAATTTTGTCTCTGCATGCTTTTTCAAGTCAGCATAATGGGCTCGAAGTGAGGTGTGGCAGAACATGCAATAAGCCTCTTTTCCATTAGAATCATTTTTTTCCTCTCTGAGCCAACCTATTGGACAGATTAAATAATTGATTACATTTCAAAGCAGTAATTGAACTGAACAATTATGTGACTACCAGCTAACTAACTACTACTACTTGAGAGAAATTTAATTAGATTTACCTTTCGCCCACGATTCTTCTGCCCATTTGGCTTTGTAATGCCGCGTATATTTTCCATGTTTTCCCATGATATTAATAAAAAAAACTTCAGTTTAAACACAGCAGAAATTAAATTATAACACAAGGACACTTTCCACTTTCAGTGAAATACCAAAGGAAAATGCACCATGAGAGTGGGAGAATTGTCGACTCATTAAAATTATATGGAGCGAATCTTGTGATCCAATAGTTTTTAAGTATTATTTAAAAATCAGTGATCAAGCTAAATTATAAGGGTGGGAAATTAGCGGTAAAACAATGGATTGGAAGATTGCAGTGCGGTGGAAGTTGTTCTTGCCGCCTTCAGAGGTGATTGGTCCATGGAAGGTTTTCAGGGGAAGCTGCGGGAAACCTTTATTTTTTAAAATAATTTTTATGTTTTCAAATTAGGATAAAAAAATCTAGTAACGACAATAACAATGTCTTTTATTTTCCTTTGTCGTAGTAGCAACATTTTTATATTTTTCTGACAATGGAGTTGCGGTTACATTGACCCTTCCAATGAAATGAGTAGGAGTGATCGAGAAATGAGGCAAACCAAATGGGATGAATGTAACAATTGATTTTTTTCAGAAGTCAACCTACTCGATCACAGATGGCGCAAAGTAGAAAAAGGTTAACATTCTTTGAGAGTGTAGTGGTAGATGATTACTACTCGTCCGTCTACAGATGGCGCAACACAAAAATGGAAAAATAATACAATCGCCCAAAATTCGCCAAAATCGCCAACTGGCGCCGACATAAAAAATACAACGCCAATCTTAAGCGCCAAGTCGCCAAAATGGCGATAAATCGCCAAATCTGGGCACCCTGCATATGCTCATAGAGCTACAAAATATAGAGAGTCATAACACGTATTGAGGCACATTAAATTTAATAAGATCTAAAATTCCAGGACAGTCACAAATATTGTTTAAAATTTTATACATAAAACAGATTTTTAAATAGGTTCTGCGATCATTTAATTTACTTAACCCTAAATAAGTCATTGACATGTCAGGAGATTTACAGATATTGAGAGGAAGACGACGAGATATATACTTGACAAATTTAATTTGAACTAACTCAAGTCTATCAACATATGTTTTGTAATAGGGAGCCCAGACTACGCATCCATACTCTAGAATGGAGCGTACATATGTAGTATACAAAATTACCAAAGTACGTAAGTTATTGAAATCTTTGCAGTACCTTTTAATGCATCCTAGCATTCTGTTTGCTCTAGCTACTATGTGCTCATGATGGGATTTAAAAGAAAGCTTGCTATCCAAAAATATACCCAGGTCCTTGATCAAATATGACACTTTAAGAATTTTCCCATTAAGTAAATAAGCAGGAGTCGACGGTGATTGTTTTCTACTGAAATTTATTACATGACATTTGTCATGGTTTAAAACCATGATATTATTATCGCACAGTCAGATGGTGAGACTAGATCCCTTTGTAGACGTGCAGTATCATTGGAGTTTTTGATGATTGCATATATTTTCAAATCATCCGCGAATAAGCTAAAATCACAGAACAAATGGTTACCAATATCATTGACATATATCGAAAACAGCAAAGGGCCTAATATCGAGCCCTGAGGAACCCCTGATGGTACACGCCGACTATCTGAAAGGCAACGATTTAATTTGACTTGTTGTACTCGACCTGTTAAGTAACTCCTAAACCATCTTAACAAAGAACCTTTAATTCCATATGCGGATAATTTCTCTTGATGGACCTTGTCAAAGGCTTTGCTGAAATCTGTATAGACGGCGTGTACTTCGAGGCCCTTAGACATAGGCATGATTATTTTATTAGTAAAGGGCAGAAGGTTAGTTAGTGTTGAACGTTTACGAAAAAACCCGTGCTGATTGGTAGTTATAATATTACTAAAAATCGAAGATATATACGCAGAAACAATCGATTCAAAGATTTTAGTGGGGACAGATAAGATGGAGATCGGTCTATAATTTTCCACATTTGATTTGCTGCCAGATTTATGAACGGGTACAACGTGAGCTGTTTTCCATATTTGAGAAAACACACCTGATCGCAAGGATAAATAAAAAATAATTTGCATAGGAAGAGCCAATGAAGATCTA